CAATGTGTGTTGTCAATTTGACAGGATCTAGAATAACCTTGAAAAAAAGGGCCTCTGGACATGCAGGGGAGGGTTATCTTGATTGGGTTGTTGTTGTGGAACAGGACAATTTCCCAAGCAGGGGATCCTAGACTGTTGTAAGTAGAGAGAGAGGGCTGAGCAGAGGCCTGCAAGCGACTGTGGCTACAATGTGACCAGCCGCTTCACACTTCTGCCACCTTGTCTTCTCTGCCATGATGGACTGGACCTTGAAGGGTGAGCTGAAATAAGTCCTCTCACCAGTAGGTTGTTCTTATCAGTGTTTTCTCACAGTAACAGGAAAGAAACTAAGACGGGATCAGTAAATATGCTGTAACAACGACATATCATTTATATTTCATGTTTAATTAATGCTTCCATGTCAGGGGCAAATGCTTATTGCTATCTCTATGTATCAAGTACCTCAAGGTTAAATTTGCTTGTTTCACTATCATGTGATTCTCAGTCATCTCAAAAGCTACTGGATAGTTCCCAATGACAGTTTGAGGACCAAGATAGGATGAAGTCCAAGATAGGACGAAGTTGTTTTTTGTTGTTGTTGCTTTGGGTTTTGTTTTTTGTTTGTTTGGGTTTCTTTGTTTTGTTTTTTGTTTTATTTTATTTTTTTGAGACAGGGTTTCTCTGTGTAGCTTTGGAGCCTATCCTGACACTCGCTCTGGAAACCAGGCTGGCCTCGAACTCACAGATATCCACCTACCTCTGCCTCCCAAGTGTTGGGATTAAAGGCATGCGCCACCAACACCCAGTGTATGAAGTTTTTCATCACTCACAGCTACATGAAAAAGGCAAACAAGTTATTATGGCTGGCTTTTCTTTCAAATTTTTATTTTATGTACATGATTATTTGTATGTGTATTATATATATGTATGTGCACCATATGTGTACAGTGCCCAAGGAGACCAGAAGAGGGCATCAGATTTCCTGGAGCTGAAGTTACAGATGGTTGTGAGCTGCCCTGTGGGTTCTGGGAACTGAATCTGGATCCTCTGTAAGAGCAGCAACCTTTTAACCACTGAGCCATTGCTCTAGTCCCTTCATTAGGTTTTTAAATAAAGTGAAGCCTATCTGATCAAAAGGATATCTTTCCACCTAAGTTTATGTCCTTTCAATTTTAATGTTAAATGTGCTTTTATGAAGTGACATTGCTGGTATATGGCAACTGTATCCTTCCTTACTTGACAAAATACTAAAACATTCTTACTTTGGTACTCACCACTCAGT